GAAGTGTGCGTATCGTGACTGTGCCTACTAAACCTGCTGTTTTTACTACTGCTACTGTTTATACCCCTCTCCTCACCCCTGTGTTTCCTGGCCTGTTGGGCCTAGAGTCTTTCAATGGTTGAAGCTTTTGAAACCCACCTAACCTAAGCTACCCGGATAAATCGTGCTCGCTTTCCTCTTTCAGTGTTCACCCTCCCCTGGTTCTTGCTCCCTCTCTCTCTCTCTCTCTCTCTCTCTGTCTAGTCTAATCTCCCCGAAACACTTATCTCTGTCTCTCTCTCTCTCTCTCTGTCTCTCTCACTGTCTCGGTCCCCCGTCTTCTCTTCAGCTGGAGCCGCTTCGTGTCTCAAGGCCCTTGACCGCCGCACGCCGGAGATGTGCCTGAACCATGCTAAACCCGTCATCAAAATGCCACCAGCCCTCATAACCATCAAACAGCCCAGGCAGAAAAGTCCCGGCTGCTACCAGTGGCCTGGTGGGCGTGGCAATCTCAGTATCCTTGGAGGGCCCAGGGCTCTTTCTGACACTTGTCATTGGTACTGCTCTCGCTGAGCTTCAGGAATCCACATTTTGGATCCAAAGATACGAACACAGCAAGGGCCTTGTAGCTTCAAAGGGCTCATGCCGACACCAGAAAGAGCTGAAAGGAAAAGGGCGTCGACCCTCACTTCCAGGGTTTCACGGGGGCTTTGAACGGGGCTTTCGGGTGTTATGGCGACAGCCCGATTGTTTTTCACCTTGTCCGTGCTTCTGGGCTTCATCTTGAGAACCATTTCTCCACACAGCACAGGGCGCACGGCACACATAGTGCTATGCACATATGTGTTTGTGTGTGCGCGCGACGACTATATACGAGCCTTCCGACCTCTTAAGCCCTTTCCGCAAATACTCAAGCCTTACTGGGAGAAAGCGAATTCCGTAAACTGATCTAAGCTACGACAAAACTACTTTGCAGCCGCAAAGCCCGTACTACTCCAGCCACGACCCCAAGCCTGTAATTTCAAAACCCTTTGTGAACGAGGTCTCGCTACCCTCTTGCTTGAACCTGAACCCCAGGCCAGCTGCCAACATGCCAGTCTTGTCGATGACAATGCTATGGCCCAGTCGGGGAGGTGTGATGACCTCAGCTGAAAATGGGTTGACGGCAAGCTTAGACGGCTTGGGAAGTTTAAGGCATAGACTACATCCTTTAAGGTAGCCTCGGGTCCATGAGAGTGGCCTGTCGACCGCCAACACATTCTTGTCAGGATTCTTCAGAAAAGTAGCGGTACTGTGGAGGCAAACTCATGAGCTGCGGCTACATGGATCTTTGGACCCCGGGTTCGTCCAGAAGGTGTAGTCGTGGCATGTCGTGGCGTGCTGGTTATGGCAAAGGTGGTTGGAAGGGAAGGAGGCTGGGCAGCGGTTTTGGGAGCAGCTGGTGGCTGCCATCGTCGAGGAAGTAATTAGTTAGTATTTAGTCATGAATGCAACAGACACAGAAAGGAGAGAGGGAGCGAGAGGGAGATACATGCATAGATATGTTGTGTCTATTTCCCGTCTCTATGTATGTACGGATGTATGTACGCATGTCGTTACGTCGGTACGTAGGCATGTAGCTATGTGGGTCGGTAGATAGGCAGGCAGGCAGGCAGGCAGGCATGCAGACATGCAGTGACGTGTCGGTGCATGTGTAAGTAATCATATGTTTACATTTGTATTTATGTATATACACACCGAATAGACACGCGCAGAATAGATAGGTAGACAAAGGTGTACATACCTTCATGTATGGATATCTACATAGGAAAGCCCCAAACCCGAGCCCGTAGCTTGAAGACTTCCGCGCTCACCCTTACTGTTTCGTCAAAGCCGCGTGCTGAACCGTGCGGGGGCGCGGCGAGCGCCGAGGCGTCCGCCGTGAGATTGGCTCAGCCGGGGAGCGGCGAGGGTTCACCGCCACCAGTGTCGGCGTCACCTTCTTCTGTGAAAGGGCCCAAGCCCAACGTAAAATCCCAAATCGACGGTTTCTAGGGTTTTTTCAGCCAAAACCCCCAAAAAGTCGACGCTGAAAAGTCCTGTGATAGCCTAAGGCTCGGCTTCGGGGCTCTGGGCTTTGAAGCTCTGGGCACGAGGGAAACAGAGGGTACAGTAAGCCTTGAAATTGAGGCCTTGAGAAGACCTGAGCCGGGAGCTTTAGTAATTAGCATCATAAGGTTTGGAAAGGGCTACTTTAAAGGCTCTTTGAGGGCTACTCTAGAGGTTACTACCAGAGTTATATGGGCGGTTGTCAAAATTATGGTTGGGTCTCTAATATAATGCGGCACCGAATATTTAGGGTACCCCACAAAGGGCCATAAGTTTGACAACTACCCATATACTTAGGCTGCCTCCTTGGGCTTCGGTGGACTCTCCTCCGGCTGGATCATGTCAGCGGTGTAGTTCGTGCTGATCATGCCCCTCTCGACATGCGCCTGGGCTTGGAGTCTGAGTTCACTGTTGGGATAGGATTAAACCTGTACATTTCTATTCCTTATTGGGTTTAAGTACCCATAAAAATGTAAAATGTTGCCCAAGTATGACAAAGCTTTGTGGCTCTGCCTTAGAGTCAAGTTGAAAATTATGCGGGCCATGGTAAAGTGTAACATTAGGATTTATATGGCTTAGGGCGAAGGCCGAGAATTCTGGGTAAGGACGTACTATATAGGGGCTTCCATAACTACAGTAGGGTTTGTGGGGACATGTCGCAGTATAACTTTAATGTTCAAGCAACCGTTTTACAAGCACAACATGTTTGTTGATTTTCTGGGTGCGGACATGAAGCAGATTGCTTCAAAACGCACCAAAACTCGACAAAGCGCTGCTTTGCACGTGCCAGCAACAGTATTTTGAAGCCAGGCAGATGCCAACACTCTGTTTTGTTCGGTCTGCTCATGGACGGAGCTTTGTCAGGAAGTGCCAAAAACTCGAGGAATTTGCACTTTGCACGCTGCTAGAACAAGAAGAACTCGAGACAGTGGCAAACAAAAAGGAAATATGCAGGAGCATTTCACCTCGTAGGTCGGTGCTGATGGGCTAGTAGTTGACAGCCTTTCGCGATCGAAAAATTTCACCTCGTAAAAACCAGGTCGCTGAGGTCGTTTAGTACATGGGGAGGTCGGAGCCTTGTCAGGAAGTGTTAACAGCTCACGCAGACGGCTTATCGTAGGCGCGAACGCAATTTCAAAACTCATTTGATTGAGTGGCAGTGACAGTGGTACCTCGTGCAAGCTTTTGATGTCGATGTGTTTGTTGAACCTTTTGATGTCGATGTGTTTGTTTGCGTTTTGTGGTGTATATAGTTTATCTTTGTGCTGCTTTTTTTTCTGGTTTGCGCTTGGTTTGCGTTTTGTAGAAGCGTTTCAGCGCGTGAGAGGGGCGTTGCCCCCGTGGCTCCAACTACCAGCATCGCCTCTTAGGGTGTAGGGTTTAATGGTCGATGTTCCCGGGCATACCTTGAAACCCCATTTACGGTTTTATTTGCTTCTGAGGGTTCACCCAAAACACCTGTATAACCTGACCCTGCTCCGATGATGCGAAGATCCTCTAACGCAACGAACAAGACAAGTAAAGCTGCCTCGAAGTGCAAAAACCCTGTGTGCACCGGTATATCCGAATCCCGAAATCAGAAAACATTGTAAAAACGAAGCGAAAGGCTCTTGAAACCTCGTGTAAACTGCGCGTGAACAGGGCTTCGGAAGGTATCATTAACTATGAAAGCGAACCCAAGGAATGGTATTGTCAAGTGTTCCGACCAAAATATCAGAACTTGAGTTAAAGGCTTCGGTTTCAAGGTCCGTCCTCTCCTGCAACCTTCAAAACGCGTGCTCCAGTTCAGAAATCTGACAGCTTCGAGAGGAGTCTCAGTGCATGAATCCAAGCCGCCCAAATCATCTTGCCGCGATTAAGCCGCGGCTGAACTCAAGCAGTGGTGAAACATGCTGCACGCACTTGGTGCATGTTGGGGCGACGTCCGCTCGCAAGGAGGACTTGAATCTCCCTCGTTATGAACGGGTTGCAGGCTTGGGAAGCTGATGAGATACTGTTGATGATATAAATCCTGCATTAAGGACCCTAAACTATGAGAATTATGGTATATTCCTTATTATGAGTAATGCAGGATTTATATCATCAACCGTATGATATAGATATGATGCGCACACGTTTGCCAACTCTAGTATAGACACAGAAGCTGTAACGAGTCTTACTCAAGTTTTCAACGCTGGGGTGATGATTCGCATGCCCGGCATCCCCTGCACGTTGGATCGACATTCGAGTCTGGGGATCTGCGGCGCTTCACCCGTTATCAAGCCCAGCGGTGTTTTAGGGCATGACTGGGTTTGCCGCTCCCCAGCAGTATGCGAACATGCTCGTGGCTGAGGAAGTCTGCTCGACTTACGGCCTAAATGCAAGGATGGAAAGCTGCACATGATGCCTTATATTCTATTGTAGTATGGTACACTACATTATACCCCATTATATTATTAGGTATTAATTATGTACAGTATCTGTATATTCTATTATACGATGTGATACTATTCGATATTAGTTCTGTACAGCATCTAGATACTGTAGTCTAATGTCTGAAATAACCTCATCCCGTGGTCTCAAGCGGCAAACCCCGCTGACCCGGCCAGGCGCCTTTTTCAGCACCTGCAACTGGGCCTTCCTAACCTTGAGCCAGGCAAAAAGGCACGTGTTTGGGGTTCAGGGTTTGGGGGATAAGGGTTTAGGGCTTAGGGGTTTAGGGTTTAGGGTTTAGGTTTAGGGTTTAGGGGTTTAGGATGGTTTAGGGGTTTAGGGGTTTAGGGCTTCTGGGTTTGGGTGTTAGGATTAAGGGTGTAGGGGTTTAGGGTTAAGGGGTTTAGGGTTTCGGGTTAAGGATGCGTTTTGAACATCATAGTAAATCAGTAGAATGACACTGTCACTATGACAAGTCAGTAGCCGACGAATCGCCGCTCATGAGGTACATGACTTGCATCTCATGCATAAAACTTCTTTGGTGAAAGAAGCCCAGGGTCAAAGAGCCGAAGGTGACGCAAACGGTGCCGGAAGTTCCTGTTCTCCATGTCCTTGTCGTCCAATGCCAGAAACTCCTCCAAGGGTCGCCAGAAGGCCGAGGCTTTCCCTACGGCAAAGGCTCAGTCAAGACACCCTGAGTAATGTGGGAACCTGAGTGAGAAACCTCGGGCGTTTATTTGGGTTCATTATCTGAATCCTGCTATTTTGGGGTTATAGGCCCAGGGTTTCTTAATCAGGTTCCTACATGAGGGCTTGCACTGTCAACCTACACACTAGGAATGACAGTGATGCAAAGCGCCGCGCCTCGCTCCACCTGTGCTTCATTGACCAATCGAAATACTCCTTGGTGCCGGTTTCGCAGACGGCTGAAACCGCAAACCCAAAGCGGTTAAGCAGTACCCCAAAGCCTGAAGCCCAACTTTCTAGACCCAGAGCCCGAAAGACCGTCGGCATCAGGAAGCCTGTTTCTGAATTTGAAGGGTGGGTTTGCTTCTTGTTTCCATGTACTCGAAGTGATCCCTGCTTTCGGCACACATCACAAGTTCCAGCAGCCAGCAGACTCCAAGAATCCAGTGCTAGCGCTTTGCCTTGACCCAAGTGCTGCGATGCTGGTGTCGGTTGCATCTCAATGGACAGCACACTATAGGGGCCAAAAAAAGGGCCTAAGTAACTACCAATACTATTTTCGGGGTTCCTTATTGTAATCATACTATAGTGGCCCCCAAAAACCCTACTCTAAGTACTAAGGCCACTATACTAGGCCGGCGCAGGGCTACAGCTTGCCGAATCTTACCCGTGGCGAGGTTGAAGCTGCTGGGTCTGGAGTTCTGGGTGCTGGGTCTGTGCAGCTGGGGCCTTTGCAGCAAAGTCAGTATCCTTAGGGTTTTGTTTTAGGGTTTAGGGTATCCCTTTGTTTTGCAACTGGGCTTGGGGGCGATGCAAGTCAGTATCCTTTACATAGTAACCCCAAGCCCTCGCCACCGGCGCTTTGACACCTCAGCCACGTAGCCTAGAGAAACGGAGGGCCTGGCCTCAAAGTCGATGACGTCATTGCGGTCCTTGTCCATGTCCTGCGGTTGCAAAACAGGAAGTGGAGCACCTCGAGATTTGCACACAAGGGGGGTTCCACAGCAGGGCCATTTCTGAAACAGGATTCTATAAATATATATATATATATATATATATGGATACTTTCAGGAACAGGAGCCATGACGGCAAGGCCCAGGCGCTAAATCTGTAAAACCTCTGAGCCCCTTCACTTCTTAAGGATTGCAGAATCGAGGAATTTTCGGCTGCCGGGCTTGACGGCTTGGGTCGGGCTTACATCGGGTCTTTGGGCTCATGGGAGGTTGGTTTAGTGTCCAGGCAACAGGTCTCAACTCGAAACTGTTTAGGGTTCAGGGGTTCCAGAGTTTGGCTTGTGATATCTATAATAACCACTCAGCCCCTCAAACACAGACGGAGCAGCAAAGAGCACTTGCACACGCACACACGTTGATATGCACGCCTGCAGCTAACTTATGAGGCCCCCGGCCGGAAAGCAAACCATGAAAATTTGAACCTGAATCCTGCAAATGTCAATCTCGAGCTTTTGCCCTTCAGTTGGGCTTTGTGGCTGGGTCTACTGTCACGACAGAGTGCAGGTTTCTAGAGATTTACTGCGCATCGGATTCCTGGAAGTATTTCTTGATCTTCCGCACCAAGTTTGCTGGAAGATCCTGGCAGGTGGCTTTGTTCACGTGAGTTCAGAGGCTGCCATGAATATGAAGTCGCAAACAAAGGCCGCAAGCAGAAATCACCGCAGCAACTTTTGGCAGGCAGCCTCCACAGGCTGAAGGCCTTTACAAGCGCAAGCTGAGACCGAAGAGGGTCGAACATGCCCTGAAGCCCGAGTTGTTGGCCAAAAAGACGACGAGGGGGCCGAATCCGACAAGATTGGATACTTGGTTTGGGAGCCCACCAACGAGGCAAGAGCTACCAGTAGCAGCTAGAAACGAGCGAGCTGTTTGTATGGTTATGGCGGCATGGCGGTGCTGGTGGTGGCATCGCCTTTGCAACTAGGACTTCATATCAAAGATGTTGTGATCGCACAGACACCAGCGACGGCAGCATCGGCCATGATATCAGCTTTGCACACCTCCTCGAAATGATCTTCATCGCCGACGTGCGTGAGCATTCTGTTGAGAAACCAGCAGCAATTTGGACCATGACTCCTAAAACCTAACCAGTGAGGTCAGAACCCCTGAACCCTAAGCCCCAAACCTAGACCCCTGTATTCTATAGCGTTAAGCCAACCCTAAGCTCCCAACCTCAAACCTGCATCCTAAACTCTGACTCTAAGCCTAAACCAACAATCCTACACCCTGAATCCGAAACGTTGAACAACACATAGCAACCCTTATGGCGACACTTAGCCTCAAAATGACAGTCACCCTTAAAGGGAACCCTCTTATAGTAACTCTCAAAGGAACGCTCAGCCATAAAATGAACCCTTGTAGCAGCCGGCAAAGGATACCTAATGTAGGGGCCTTCATACTTACCTATACTCTTTTGGGGGCTCCTTATTATAACTATACTATGAGGGGCCCCCAAAACCCTATTCAAATTATTGAGGCCCCTATACTCTTTTGGGGACTCCTTATTATAACTATAGTATAAGGGGCCCCCGAAACCCTACCCTGTTTTTAAGGGCCCCTATACTACAAGCGACTCTCCTGGTCTTCCGGCCAGTTCAAGTTCTGCCGCGTGGAGGCCTCCGGGCAACAGAGGCAGAAGCCTTCGGGGTCACTGCGGTTTCAGCTTAAAGGTGTGGATTTCTTTCATCTTTTTGAGAGGGGGAAGGGATTACGGGGTTAGGGGTTCAGACACTCGGACTCGCCAAGGTCTCTCGGTTCGTGTCGGGCTACTGCTTCAGCTCGAGTCGTAATCCCGAATACAGCTACACGCAAGTAAGGTTTAGGAATTGGGGCCTAGACACCAACAACCTAAACTTGCCTGTGCAGCTAGAAGAAACCCGCCAGGCCCAAATAAGACGAGCACCTCTACGCGCCTAAATCGCACGAATGCAACGTCGAAGCCCACAAAGGGCCCATCGCCGCTCGTGATGGCAGCAGGATTGCGGCGCCCCACATCCCATGATAGTTTTTTTGGGGATTTGGGGGAGCGGCAGTGGGAGATTGGATCCCTGTAGTAGTAGCCCCCAAACGCAACACACCCAAACCCAAGACCCAAAACCCTTGTCCTGAATCCTATACCCTAAACCGTTTTCACTCCTTGCTCCACTCTTAGGCGCCAGTAGGAAACTGCCTCGAACTCCGCCTCCGATACGAGCATGTCGCCACCTAAGCGGGCTTGAACAATTTGAGTAGGGTGCCTTTACGGGCTGTAAATGGCTGTAATAATGGGGGCTCCTTTAAGGCCTCTTTTGAGGGATCTATAATTATCGGCGTTAATCACTCTAATGGGGTTTGGGGGTGGGTTATGCTACTATAGATATGCAGGGGCTACGAAAAGCTCGGCGCTTCGTCATTTCCAAGTTGTCTAACTTGCCTGTCTTGGAAACCCCTAATAAGGGGGGGCCTTAATCATTAGAAGAGGGTTTTGTGGCCCATTATACTGTACTTCTATTATAAGAAGGAACCCCCCCAAATTGTATACTATTATTATAAGAAGGAACCCCCAAAATAGTATACTAGTAGCATAAGAAGGAACCCCCACAACAGTATACTATTAGTATAAGAAGGACCCCCAAAATAGTGTTGGTAATTACTTAGGCCCCTCTTTTTTACACCTCAACGACTCTGGAGCTTCGCGACAGTGGGCTCACGCGGAGCCGGGTTAGAGGCGGAAACCCTTTGAAGGACCGGTGCAATCTTTAGACAAGTTGGGTTTAGGGTTAAGGGTTGTGCCATTCTGAGATTCTGATCTCTGGCACAGCTGGTGTGCTGATACTTCGGACACCTGAAGAATCCATTTCTGCAAGTCCATAATCTCAACTTGACGGCAACATTATGCTGGCCCACGAAACTCTATGCTTCCCCGAAACGTGGATAGACAGACAGACCGCCAGACAGACAAACAGACAGACACCCAGACAGCCAGGCAGGCAGGCAGGCAGGCAGACAGGCAGACGGACACAGAAACATGCGTGCACACATGCACTCTGACATATGTGCTGTTCACACACTGGCGGCGTTGTCAGACGGGAAGATATAGGATGTTCGCTGATTGGTGCGATGCGAGGCATGGAAGCCTTCTCTGATTGCTTTACGAGGTACCGATTTTGCAAGAGGGTCGAGCTATGCTTGTGCATGTACCCAATTTAACAGCCAACAACATATCTCCGTTAAAATCACATAACACGGAAGGGCAACGCCGGAACATGATACAGCATACAAGTAGTACAGCTGCCAAAGTGCACTAGCAGCAGCAGCTTTTCTGCCGACGGACTTGTCATTGTTGCTGCTGTCGAAACACCAGGACGGTGAACAGGACGATAAATATCGACGAGGATTGTTGCAATGACAGTGATCGCGACGATGTGTCAACGACAACAATAGGAAAAAGGCTCACACTCTTGAAGCAAGGAGCTGGTGTCAATCTGCTTGAACTCTTCCAAGCATTTTTTGACCTCGTCTATAGGCACGAAATACCTCAGATGCATCCGATCTGGGGCTCGGTTTGGCTTTGAAAGGTTCTGCTGTTCAACGACAGTGTGTGCAACTAGCGCACACTTCGGTTGACATTGGATTGAATGTCAGCTTCAGCTCACAACCTGTATGCGATAAACATGGGACTTGTCGATGGCAGAGAGGGGGCTGAATGCCAAGCCCCTGCCCCACAGGCAGCAAGCCGAAGTCATCTCGAAATCGAATACTCGACAGAGTTGCATTATCATGACGCATTCATTCGGGAGTAGCAGGAGTGTAATAGTAGTCGTCGTCGTCGTAGCGGTAGTAGCCTTCGTACGCAGTTGAAGTCGTAGTCGCACGCATCGAACTAATAGTTACTCGTCGTCGTCGTCGTAGTAGCAAGTATTAGAAGAGGAGGAGGAGGAGGAGGAACCCCACAACATCTCAATGAATTTGAAAACTCGGAAAGCTCAACGCCGCCAGCACAAGTCTTCAAGCCGGGCAGCTGCTTGGACAGCGCAAAACAGGTGTCGAACATCGTAGCTTTGATCGGGGTCGGATTTTGTGCTGCCTGCACTTCCATGTGCCGCGGTCACCAGTAGAATCAAGTAGATTGGAGGGTTGAGAATTCTGGGGTCGGGCCCTCCTCTCTGTTGCTCAGCACTTGCTCAGAACAATGGACCATTTATCCGAAGAAGGCCGTGCGTCTGGATCAGCGCCACTCGCTGATCGGCTTTGACCGAAGATCTGGCTGTGGTACTAAGGCGAGCTGTACAAAGTCATGCTCTTTATTCGTCATATCGTATCAAGAACCTCCACGCATGCAGCTTTGCAGTGCAGGGCATACCCAACAACCCTGAAACTTGAGAAACCATTTACGTATGCATGGACTGAAGGAACTGCTGTGTGGACTGAAGGCGTGGTGGCCTGACAGATTGGATGCAACAGAAACTCCTCGCTTCCATTGATCAGGAAGACATGGGAAAACTGCAGGATCTGAGAGAAGGCACCGTAAACTCTATCTCTATAACATCATAAAATCCAAAGTAGGCTTACGTTGGATTTCTGAAAGCCATTGGAACCAGATGAGCCGACTGCAGTGGCCTACACCACAGGCAGAGCCTACGGTCCTACCTTCTCTCGCACCGGCACGGAATTACAAAAGGAGGAGCAGACACAGCTCCAGATAAGACCAGATTAAAGCCCCCTCACCCCAAGGGTCCGAAGGACCCAATAATTAGGTGTTCGGCTTTAGGATAATATTGCTATGTAGGTTATGATTTTGGACAGTTTTTGACTATTGGGTACTTGGACCCTTGGGGTGGACAGCCCTAAACCCTGAACCCTACACCCTAAACCCGATGAATGCCTTCTGAGAGCCTAAGCGAACGGCATCTCAGAGCTTGGCGGCGGGCTCAAGGCCCTGGTAGGTGCGCTGGACAAGGAAGTCGGTGGGGAGCGGCACGATGTGGTCGGCCAGATTGGTGATGATCACGTGCTTCTCGGTAATGCTTGGGATGTTGGGTGTGCCGGAAAGGCGCATCACCATCTGGAGCTCATCTTGCAGCATGTGCACCATGCGGACAATGCCGTTCATGCCATAGGAAGCCAGGGAGTAGAGGACCGGGCGGCCCACACCCACTGCCTGTGCCCCCAAAGCCACGGCCTTGAAGATGTCGCCGCCGCGGCGGACGCCACCGTCGATGAAGACGGCGAAGTTCTCCTTGGTAGCACCTGCCTCTTTGAGGCCCTCCATGACCTCGGGGAGCACCTCGATGCCAGGGCGACAGGTGTCCAGCTGCCTACCACCATGGTTGGAGAGAACGCAACCAGCCAGACCGGCCTTGTAAGCAGACACGGCATCTTCCGCGCACTGCACGCCCTTCAACAGCACCTTCATCTTTGTGATGCTCTTGAGCCAGGGCACGTCCTCCCAGTTGAGGCCAGGGTCGATGTAGCTGCTGATGGCGCGAGTGGCACCCTGGGAACGGTCCACAGCACCATCCTCCTCATCGTCGCCCTGGACATCCGAGCCCTGCTGGGTGAACTTGTTCCTCATGTCCTTCTCACGGCGGCCCAGCTGGGGGGCATCCACCGTCACGAAGAGCGCCTTCACGCCAGCATCCTCCAGCTTCTTCACGTACTCTTCGGACCTCGAGCGCTCCGGGTTCACGTAGAGCTGGGAGAAGACCTGCTGCTCCGGTGACCTGGCCTCGAGCATCTCGTCCAAAGTGTAGGAGGAAAGTGTGGGGAGCATGTAGGGAACTCCGGCCTTCTTGGCTGCCTTCACGATCGCCAGCTCCCCGTCCTGGTGAGCCAATTTGGCCAACGCCGTGGCCGTGAAGTACAAGGGCACGGAAGCCGGCACTCCCAGAATCTGCGTCGTCATGTCGATCTCCCGCACGTTCACCAGGATCCTTGGGCGCATGGTGATGCGCTGGAAGGCCAAGTGGTTATCCCGTAGCGTGATCTCGTCATCACCACCTGAGGAGTAGTATCCCCAGGCCTGCGGCTCCATGACCTCACGGGCCACGCTCTCGAAGTCGAAGCTGTTCAACATGGCATTCAAAGGTGGCTTCTTGAATTCGACCTCCTCTTCCACCTCCGACGATGCGGCCTTCTTCTTCTTGGGTGCTGGCTTATGAGGCTCCGGCGCCTTCGCAACATGCTCTGGCTTGATCGTCGCCGCATCAACGACGCCCATGGTCAGTGATGGCTTCAGGAGCTTGTCCATGATATCCTTGGGGTGAATTGGGTCGAAGAGGGCAGTGGCATCCATGCCCGCTGCATCCGTGATGAGCTTGGCCCCACCGGGGTGGACCTTCGCAAACTTCGTCAGGTCGTAAGCCTTGCCGTAGAGAACGACCCAGCAATCTTCCTTGGTGTTGTGCTTGGCAACATCCTCCATGCTAAGGACTTTGTCCGACATGGTGACGGAAGCTGGGCAGTTGGAGAGCTCTAAGGGCAAAGGAGGCTGGCAAAGCTTTGCTTCACAAGAAGCAGACCTGCGCCAAAATGGCTGCGGAGCCCACAGCTGCAAGCCCGCCAACCCCAGCACAAATAAGGATGAAGCTCAGCTGGACCCCGTATTCAATCGCTGCAAAGCCCAAACTCTTCCCCCGTCCTCTGCCCCCCTGCCTCAGCTGCTTCCTCCGCCTTACCTTCCTCCTGCTCGTCTTCGTGTTTGCTGCCATCCTGGGCAAGGGATCATCAAAAACACCGTCTGGCGTTTACAGGTTTTAAGACCTATCTCCGGTGTAGGGTGCTTGGTATTCTACACTTACGTATGACTAAGTATGACCACAGTAACTCTATACCAGGGCCATCTAGGGCCGGGATTTACGAACCATGGACCCTCCCGATGATTCTTGGCCCCTAACCCACTGCCAAAGCAAACACTTCCCGTCTGCTTTTACGGGGCATCGAGCCTCGGCATCTGTAGCAACGCGTGTGCAACCGGAAAATCCGGTCGGAGGCGTGGCAAAAACCTTCGTCCACTTTACATGACCCCTGAGAACTTAGAGAACCCTTAAAAGGGGTTACATCCGGCTCAACAAGCCCTGGCCAAATAGCACGCGATATACCTTATAATGAAGATATCAAACTATATACTATATGACGTATAAGATATAGGATATGACCAATGAGCCGGCTGTCCTCATCCTGATGGTCGTCCTTGTCTTTGCCCGAGACCTTCCTTCGCGGTTTTTGTTCCGCAGTCTGGGGCTTGAGGCGTACTACACTACAGTAACGATGAGAAACCCCATGGAACCATGTTCCTAAATCTCAGGCCTCTAGCTTCGGTGGGTCGGGTCCGGGATAAGCACGGAGATTAGCCACTCAGCGCTTGCATGCCGATCTCACTGCGGGGTTCAAGGCCTCTGGGGTTTCCCCTTCCAAGATCCGAGGAAGTGATGCAGTCAAATATATGGCTTAGCACATGAATCCAAAATCTGGATAAGTACTATATTGTGTATACTGCGGAAAACGTACATGATCTAACCGAAGTCTCTCTTGAGGCCCGTTACCTAACGCTGTTGCTCTGGATGGGGTCATATCGAATCCAGTGATACTGTGTGGGTAATGTGTGCAGTTGTGGGTCTCATACAAGGATCTATGGGGATACACCTCACCGACGGCAGGTAGAATTCGAGAGGCTCCCTTCTTGCACATGAGACTTAGACATAGTGCTTCGTTCTCTCTGTTGCCAAGCATGCTCGCAATGACAACCCGGAATCTTCAGAATTGGACTGCCGCACCGGGAGGGATAAAGGCTCTGGTCTCTGGCTGGCCGTGCCAGCCAGTAGCTGCACAAATTTCAACGTCTAGTATCTAAGCCGTATCCCGCAGACGATCTCGGATTTCAGGCACTGATCGAGGACTGGAGATCCATAAGTCGTCCCTCGACAATTCTGGACAAGCTGCTTCAGAGCCCCACCCAAACCTCCGACACAGGTTGGCAGACGGCTTTCGATTCGGGGTTGAGACATGGAAGGGTTGTTCCATCGTTCCTGCGACCTGCGTTGCTGGAGCTTTGGGCGAAAGGGGAGGATGCTTTGAACTGCGGCCTATGGAGTTGCAGCAGCTTCGGGGGTATAGCCAAAACAACCAGGATGCATGACACTCGAACGCTTGACGAGGTGATAAGTCTGGTGAGGATACGCAGAGCCGTACGAGTAGTAATTGTCACAAGTCTGACAACCAGAAACGTGGTCTGGCGAGCGTAGTCAATCCCGACAGAAACAAAGGTCGTCAGGAACTAAACAACATGGAACTAGCCGCAGTGTAGCCAATCAGTAGACCTGTCATACAAGAGATGGCAGCACAAACTCAGTGGTTGTAACAATGATCTTGATCGCAAGCGTGACAACGACGATAGTTGTGGGACGACAACAGCGACAGCAAGCAAAACAAATACGGAGAAAACACAAACCATGACAATGCGTACAACTCTCGTCATGGTAGCTGCAGTCAGCCTTGTCACCGACCTTGTCACAACAAGGTTCCCGCACTTTTACCACCATAATAGAAACTCCAACGCTCAGGACATAAAGTCTTGCGACAAGACGGCACTGCGGTCAACACGACCCGTCCCGGGTTTCGTCGTCCCGTCCCAGCACCCTAACTTGGAGCATTAAGAACAATTTCAACAGAATTTACGTGCGTACCATAGTACAAGTATATAGGGACGACCGGGAAAAATTATGTTGCTACATCACACACGACCTTTCATACTCTCCTAGGGGGAAGTGCCATGGGACTTCTGGGGCGTGGATATGATCAGCGCAGGACCACATGCAGTTTAGGGGCATGCTATGCATGCAGGTGTATGAGGTGTATGCCATCATAATCTGTTTTACACCAATGAAATTGTTGCCGCAATTGGTGCCCTGCTTTTGGTGCTTGTTCCAACAAGACAGAAAGATCCAGCCTCCAAATGGCTGCAGTGCTGTCGCTGCCAGGCGAAGGTGTGACCAGCCAGTGAAGGGTTTCTTCTTTGATTGGGTCCTGACGTGGCTTGGGTTTTTGGGCGGTCTGGGGCGTGTGTCGCCACCGGCCAGGATTCCGCTGTCAGGGACAGCTTGCACTCTTGCAAAACCGGCCTATACTATGCCTTATAAGATGGTACTCTCTCTCTCTCTCTCTCTCTCTCTCTCTCTCTCTCACTATTACACTACGGCATAAAATACTACATATACTATAGTGGATGTAGAGGTTCAGGCATTGGGGCCGAAACCTGGTTTTTGAGCCTTTAACGCCTTGAGAAAGCCGAAGCGGATCCTCGGCACCCCAGGCTTCTTCGAAGGTACCTCAGCCATGGGGTCCAAGGTCCGGAGGAGTATGATTAGGGTTTACTTCAAGGCTTCAAGGGGGGTTATGCTGATGAGGTTGTACTCCAAGGAACACTAATGTTAGCCTAGCGGCGACGTGTCGTCAAGTACGGTTGCCGTAGGGGGGGTCGGGCCTTTTTCAGTGGGCTTGCTCGAACACTCACGGTCTGCTCGAAACAGGTATGCAACTACCGACATTAGCTCGATCTGATGTGCACTCTCACGAGGCAACTACCCCTAATCGCAAAGCCCACAACGCCACGGAACCGGTGGTGTGTCAATACTCCTTGAATTCAGACCCAGTATCCCTTGAAGGCCCTTGCACATCTCTGTTACGAAACACCAAGAGCTGGATCCAAATTCACAAAAAACTCAAGATAGTCAAACCTGAAACGTGACAATAACCGCCAGAACCCATGCATACATATATATATATATATATATGTATGTATGTATGTATGTATGTATGTATGTATATGTAGATATTTATTTGAAAACTATACATATCTAAAATATGTATATATGTGTATAGACAGATATACATATACATGCACATATGTATATATATATATATATATACACATGTACAAACATGAACTTTCGTTCGTGGCCCTGAAGCCTCAACTTTCCAAGCAAGCGGCTCGCTTGGACGTGGTCCTCCCAGGAAGCGAAGCATAGCATTTTTTTGAACTCCTTTTTACGTCTGCCTGACCATCCCAAGCTGACATAAGCATACCATTTTTAGGCGTTGGGCTCTTGAGGATTTGGATTGAATGGCTGAGAGTCCAAGACAGGAATCGGACAGGGGCTTTGGGCTCAGAGTTTAAGGGAACAGTGGGAGGCATGAAGGCTTAGGAGCTTATGATTTGGGCCTGCTGGAGCTTTCGCAAACCTCCCACTGTGGCAGGAGCATCCTGAAGTCCCCCCTAGCAACTCCTCGCGGCCTACGGTAGTTGAAGCGATTCAGGATGTGAACAAGGCCGTCCGGGGCATCCGGGCTATACGGAAGTGCGGGATGGCATGAACTCATGTAATGTAGGGGCTTTAATAGCTAGAATAGGGCTTTGGGCTCCTCAAAAAACTACAAGAAAAAAGGAACCCCAAAGGAATGATATGGTTATTCAAGGAAGGTCTTTCCCCAAGCTCCTCGTAGGATGAAGGGTATTTGGCTGGTATACGTACCACTACATATCCGGAGTTAGGATTTGGATGTTCTGGTATTAGGCCTTGGGCCGCCCCTTCTGAGAGCTACGGATATCAGAAAGCGCTGAGCACTAAACCCCGAGCTGCCATAGAAAGATGCACTAACACCAGCAAGGCCTGCTGGGCGAACGGCTGGCTTCCTCTCTCTCTGGCAGGAGCCTCTGAGACATCAGGTACCCCATGTGGGAGTTTCCGAAAATTGGGGTACCTTTTTTGGGGGGTCCTTATAATAGGGATCCTACTATTTAGGGTACTAGATTAGGGTCCCCTGTTTTCGCAAAGTCCCATGTACGGAATCAGATGTGGGTTGAGGCTTGCCTGCTCAAGGAGGTGTATGATCGGTTGAGAATGCTGCAAGTTGCTTTGGCCTGATGTCTCTTGGCATCGACCCCTTTCTTAGGATTGTTGCTGGTGCGAGCGATGGTAACACACTAGATCAGAGGCAAACGCCGCAGCACGTCAAAGAATGTGTTGTGCTGTTGTTTGGCAGCTCTCTGTTCGCAACGATAAGACCGCTCTTGAGACAGCAACCCCGACAGCATTGAATGACACCCTACCTAACGACCCCTCCCAATGCCCCCTGTCAGTTCCTCAAAGGGTGCATTAAGACGACTCTCTCTCTCTCTCTCTCTCTCTCTCTCTCTCTCTCTCTCTTTTCCACTCTGCCGGCCATGGGGGACTAGTCAGGTTCCTCCGGGCTTCAAGCCCACCCGATGCATTTGAAGAACGAGACAACTGCGAGGGAGTATGCTAAGGCCATGATGTCTACAATACGACCTCTATTGCGACCCGCCCTCGTTTAGCTGAAGTACGAGTGCTGCTGCTGCTGCTTCTCCTCTTCCTCCTCCTCCTACGACAACGACGACGACCACTAGTGCTTGCACTACTACTACTGCTGCTGCTACTACCACTACTACCACCAGCACCACGACCGCTGCTACTACTACTGCTTCTGCTACAACTACGACGTCAACTACCACCACCACACCAACGCACCACCGCACCACCACACGCGGTGGGAATTCACCTTTGGGTACCTTCATCGGAACCCTTGGAGCCGCATCGGAACCTTGAGTGGAACCCTTCTAGGAAACATCACAGGAACCGGCAAGGAACCCTTGTAGGAAAACTTATAGGAACGTTTCTTGGGGTTCAACCCT